TAAATTTTATATATTTCTCAGGTTCAATGCCACCTCGGTTTACTTTTCTTCGTGCAGAATCTTTGCGGCAAGCTGCTCTTGCCATTCACAAGGTAGATTCGAAAGAAAATAAGGATGTGGTCAAGGGTAATTCAGGATGTGAACAATATCAGGAATCACTGGTTGCAAAGGATAAAGGGGAGTCCTTTCTTAGTTTTTCAAAGAAAGTTGAGGGAATTGTTCAGGAAAATGATAGTGGGAAATATAGTGTGGAAGTTGGGGGATTTAAGAGTCAGGTTGCTAAGTCGACAGTGAGAAAACTTTTCAATGATGATGTACCTATTGAAACAAATGGAACTTCTCTTAATGAAGGAAACGACTTAGACAACCTGCCTATTTGCCATGGTGATTTGGAAGGGTTAAGCTACGTTAACTCTCAAGAACCTGGAGTATTGTCACAGGTCAATGCTCTTGACTTTGTAGATAGGTTTCTCAAAGAGAATATCACAGAGTTTGATCAAGAAACTAACTGTGTTAATAATATGGAGCAAAAGTCAAAATCCATTCCCAGTACAAAAAGGCAACATAGTTTGGCCAGGACTGTAAATGATAGAGGCAAAGCTGCAAGAACTGGGATTTATGAATGGGATGATAGCCGTGAGGATGAGGGTGGGGGAGATATATATCTAAGGAGAAAGAACGATTTTTTTAAGGGCGAAACACGTAGGCCAAGGTCGTTGCTGGGATTCCAGAAGAGGAGAGTATGCAGACTAAATCTAAATGATGATAAGAAAAACGAGAGTATTCCTAATAATAGAAAGACTGCAGTTCATTCTGATTCAAAACTTGGGATGAATATTCTGAAAGCAAGGGACAATGTTATACCAGAAGCAACAATAAAGTTAAAACGGAATCTAGCTAATGAATTGGATAAACAATTTAACGCTGATTGCTCTAGAGGAGATATGGAGCCTGATGCTAATGCAGGAGAACAGGAGATGTTGGATGTAGGACCAGATACTCAAATGGCTGCTGAGGCTATGGAAACATTGTGCAATGCCAAGGATGTTGTTGATAATGATACTGTTCATGTTACTCGTAGTGGTTTAACTTATAAACTCAATAACTCTTCTACTGGAAAAGTGGGGCTGGTTTCGTCAAAGGAACATTTGGGACAATATGACAGGAAAAGGAAAGTTGATGTTAAATCAATGTTGCAAACTTCAGGTATATCAAAGAGAAACACTAAAGAAGTCAGGCAACACACAAAGGATAGTGTGATGACTAGATCAAAGAGGAGTAAGTTAAATGCACAAGGCAACCAAACCTCCACTGATAGTGAAAATGGTAGAATATCCTTGTCTCCAAAAAATGTACAAAGAAAGTCAGCTCGAGCTTTGAAAAGAGTAGAACTTCATGAGTTGAATAATTCTGACGGCAAAGAAAGAAAAGGTAGTTCAGTCAATAAAAGGCAATTGCAGGATGGTGTTTGGCATATTTCACCAATTGCCTACAGAACTAGACGACGGTTATCACTAAATGTATCAATAAACCTTGATATATCATCCAAGAGTTTGAGAGATGGGAATATAGGTATTGATTCCCCTGAGAAAAGTGGAATTGGCCTACAGGCATCCAGAGCATTGGATTCTAAATCTACTGGTCACTGTGAAGTAGGTCATAATTCCAAATTGAGTCAATTTGGGAATTCGGCTCTGAAGGTAAGTGTTGTTAGTTTGAGTGATGGTGTTGAATTGGATATTGTAGATTGTCCTAAAAGAAGGAGATCTCTCAGAATTAGGAAGTTGTCTAATCATGATAAAGGATCCGATACATTAGATTGTTCTTCCAAACCATCTGCAAAACCTATAGATACTGGGAAATCTACTGCTGGTAAGAGAAAAACGAGAACAGATTCTGATGTCAAATCACATGTAAATAGCAAAGATCAATCTTCTTCGAAGGATGGTTCAGTAATATCTTCTGTTGATCGAAAACAAGGGAAAATACCAGAGGTAAATTTAGATAAAACAAACCCAGGGGATAATGTTAGTAATTCTGAAGCCACCAGTTCAGATGAATCTCCAAGAGAGAGGAGCAGGTTATCTGACTTGGCATCTTCAACTCCATCAAAGTATAAGAGGCCTGTGAACGGTGCATCGCCACTTAGCAAGGAACTTCAGAGCTTGAGAACCATTAGACCTGAATTACTTACTCCATCTAAAGATTCAAGGAAGAGGAGGGACATGATCGATGTTCGAGTTCTTTACAGCCGCCACATGGACAAAGATATTATTAAGCATCAGAAGAAGGTATCATTTGATTTTTTTTTTAAACTTCTATTAGTAAGCGCAAAGGTGTGGTTTTCAGACGTATTCTGGTGCTCATTGCAGATTTTAGCACGGCTTGGAGTTTCTGTGGTGTCTTCCATTGCAGATGCTACCCACTTCATAGCTGATGAATTTGTGCGAACTAGAAATATGTTGGAAGCTATTGCTTTTGGTAAACTGGTGGTCACACACTTGTGGATCGAGAGCTGCGGACAAGCTAACTGTTTTATTGATGAGAGAAATCACATATTGAGGGATGCAAAAAAGGAAAAGGAGTTAGGTTTCAGCTTGCCAGTTTCACTAGCACGAGCAGTTCAGCATCCTCTTTTAAAGGTAATATATGGCATGCATGGTGAAAAGAGTTTGTAGTATTTTTTTAAAATTCTTGGATTATGGATTTGTTGTCACCAACAGTAATTTTTACCGAAGTCATTTGTTTTTAGAAGAGATCATGCAAATTTTTAGCGATTTCTAATTCTGATTTTTATCAAAGATTCACTGGATTATTGAACCCATCTCTTGGTCTCACTTATAAATTGTTTTAATTTATTATATCCAAACGTATTTGTGTGTATGGATAGCCTACCCAGTGCGATAAGGCTCACTTACCATTGTTGTTTATAAACAAGTCTTGGATTTATAATCCTCTTATCTACCACTTTTATCTTGAGTCCTCTGATTTTAATTGTAACAGCTGTTCCCATAGTTTTCAACTTGATGCTATGAAGTCCCCATTAGTTTACGGTTAGTTTTCAACTTCGATCATGTCATAAAATTCAGTGCTATAACTTAGTTCCTCATTATGAAACCACATCAGCAAAACATGGCTTACGGGGATAAAATCCTAACCGAAACTAAGTGAACCAGATTTTAACTTTTAGGAGGTATAGAAGTTTAATTAAACCTCTTTTATATACAAACATGCATTGCCGTCATGTTGCCCTGATAAAATGATCATAATTTTCTGTAGGGTCGAAGAGTATTGATCACCCCAAATACTAAACCTAGTAAAGAGATGATTTCAAATTTAGCAAGAGCAGTTCATGGACAGGTATACATCTTTCTCCATGTATATTCGTTACTTGCACTCATAAATGGTTGAGGAAAATTATATCTTTAAAATTGTGATAGTTCCTTCTTTTCATGATTTTTTGTGAACCAATCATAGAATAATAATCAAAGTTTATAATTGTTCTATATTATTATTTGTATAATCAAAGTAATTGTTTTCCTCCTTTTCTCAGAAAGCATAGACACTTGTGTAACATAGAACAAATCTTTCTTTTGGCTCAAGCTTTTGACATTACACTTGATCTATCTCAATTATTATTTATTCTTGTAACGATTTTCCAAGGTTGTGGAGAAAGTAATGTCGGTTTTGAAGGGCCACACAGTTCCAGATGATTTGCTGATCTTATCCTGTGAAGAAGATTATGCCTTTTCGGTGCCTTTTCTTGAGAAGGGTTAGAAACTGTTTCATATGGCTTTGGGAAATTTTCTCCATATTGAAAATTTAGAATACCATGTTTTTCACCTGCAGGGGCAATGGTGTACAGTTCAGAACTGTTGCTGAATGGCATAGTTACACAGAAGCTAGAGTATCAAAGGTCTGATTTTTTGTTCTTTTGCTCGTATTACCAATGAATTTGAATCTATAACGTTAACTTTATTTCCTTATGTAAGTCTGCTGTCCAGACTTTGAGAAATCTTGTGTTACGGCCCGTTTTCACCTTATTATAAACTTTCTTTTTTCTCTTTTAATAAGGAATTGTATCTCTCTTTTGGGAAGAAAACTTTCATTAGATACATGTTGTTCCCTCAGGTAGTGGGTTGGCGGGTTTGCCATTATCATGCTAGTCAATTTCTTTGCAAAATTTTCTGCTCTCAATTTTTTGATATCTAATTTAATGCCTACAAAATTGCATCTTTTCAATGATGGGTTTCTTGATTTTGGGTGCCAGTATCTATGGTAGTTGGGTCCTGATGTGCACATGTTGGTTGCAGGCATCGACTTTTTGCAGACAATGTGAAGAAAACTCGTTCCACCGTATGGTTAAAAAGAGACAACGGAACATTTACACCTGTGACTAAATGTGATTAGAGTGGTTCCACTTCTACTTTTCCTCTTTATAATTTGTAGTTTAGGCCATATGTAGATATTTTCCAACACATGTCCCACCCCCTCTCCGGTTAATATATTTATTGTGTAAAAATCATAGAAAGGTGTTTTTCCTCGTCTTTTAGTTGACCATTCCTTTTGGGACAATTGAGTGATGCAGATCGAGGCTGTAAATCTTAGTGTTAGTGTTTGAGATGAACCAACGTAGCATGTTGCTCTCGTGGTATCTCATGTACTTTCACGCTTTCGGGTGCTACAAACGGAATAGAAATGTGATGAAATAATAGTATTTGATTGAAAAATATAAGTGTTGTAAAAAAGATTATAAATAATATATAACCCAATGATGCGGAAATGGTAAAAACAAAAGCACTCCATTTACTTACAACTGAAGCCCACAGCAGTTGAACCATAACCATTACACCGAGCATAAGTTTATTGTACGAAAAAAGCTTAGACTTCCTATTAAGAGTTTGACAAGTCATGTAAAAGTTAATAAATATGTAAATAATAAATAGACTAATTAGTGTGAAATGTTTATTTTTTCAAAATTAACACTTCACAACAAAAGTGCTTGTGATAATTGCCTAGAAACAACCAATTAAAAGAAAGATTATTTGAACAAAGAAATGAATGTGTCGAAAAGTGGTAGTTTAACAGACAACAATGTTGCACATGAAATTGTAAAAAGTAACTCGGGCTAATAATGATGATGCATTCCGTGCGAGTGCACTTTATAGCTGCGCTGGGGAACTTTCCTTATCATAGCCAAGGAGAGATCAAGGTAAAGAGGGAGTTGCACAAGTGCAAAAAACGACACAGGTAAACACGTAGCAGCATATATGGGATAAACTGCAAATTTCAGCTCATTCTCAACTATAAAGAAATGCCCTGCACAGAATGAGACCAAGACAGATGCTATAGATGTGAAGAGTGTGGTCAATCCCAGAAGAAGCTTTCTGGGTAAGTCCAAAGCAAAATCCTTTTCTTGGAACCGAGACGTGAGTATTGAAAGAAATAAAACAAGGGCTGTGACAGAGGAACATAGTGCAACTAGTGATGTTACGGCGAAGATGTTGAAAGCAGGTCTTCCTCCAAGTAATGGATAACCCGTGCGTTGATCAGGACCGCCTGGTATAGCCGTCGAGGTAGCGAATGCAACTGTTGCAACCAGCGCGGCTACCAGTGTGCATGATTCTGATGTTTTGGCCAGCCATTTCCCACCTTCTTTCGCAAGTCCTTGGTGTGTTTTAATGAAGAGCTGCTTTGCTGTTTCTCCGTTCTCATTGTAACGTTCAAAGAAATTTGGTGGCATGGAGTCCTTAACAAGCTGAAAACCACAATCATTATGATCCATGCCAAAATATACTTGTCATAAAACATTACCCTAAATTAGATATTTACCTCCAAACACATCATGCATCTGGGTGATCTCTTTTTACACAAGAGTAAGAAAAACATAATATTTACTAAATTTTATTTCAGATGAATAGATTAAAGCAGATAATTATACGATTTTATTTCTACAAAAAGTCATGATATGTCATTGGATATTCGTTATACAGTTACGCGTATATAATATATGATAAAATGCGTTTTATTCCTCGAATTTTGAAAAGCATAGTTTTTATCTTGGTATACTAGAACTGTTACAAGATTTCATCTTCAATCTTATATCGCATTTTGATGAAATCAGAAACGAAATTTCCAGCTTATGAAAAACACAGCAACTAAAACCATCATATTAAAACTGTAGGACTATACAACAAATATTTTGAAGTTAAAACAAGTAGATTTTCCTTAAAGTTAAGACCACTCTTAATTTGTGAAAATCTTTTGAAATTCTTATGAGATAGGAAGAATATTGACCTTGTACCACTTGTATTCCCACTGCATCTGCATAGCAGCACCAGGGACACGCCAAGGCCTATGACTCCCATAGGTGGCAGCAAGATGCAATGCACTGTTACCATTCTTGTCTACTTGACGAAATGCAGTTTCCCTAATCAAACTTCTCTTATTCAACAGGCTGTACACATGAGGTTGTCTGTTCTCTATGGCCAAAAGAACAACATTCTTGTTCTCAGAATCCACCTCATGGATAGCCATTGGTTCTGTGTCAAGGATCTTTTCAACCATTTCCCTCACTCCCATCTTTGCTGCAATTAGAATAGGTGCCGCCTTTCTTCTACTTTTCACGCTCCCATGAACACTCATACTTGTATAATCATGCTTGAACAAAGAAGAAGAACCACACTCGATTAGTTCATTCATCAATTGCATAGCCTGAATGTGTTTCACCTTCTTTCGTTGGATTTTACCAATCCAATTTGCTCCTGCATGCGTTATCAAAGTCATTCTGTGCAAAGAAAAAGTGAAAATGCGTTCACCTTTCTCTACTTCAATTTGTCCACTGCTTCTTTTATGTCAAGTAGTTTTACTTTTAACAAGTATATGTTGTCGTATGCAAATACTCTCCATTTTAAGAAAGTGTAAAAACATGAAAGAAAGTGATGCAACACATCTGACACTTTCTCGATGATTTTGACTAACAATGGGTAGAGAAATAGATTTACCAACACCGCAAATGATTAGCAAGAGCTTCATCATATGAGTTAGGAATCGGATCGCTGCTGCCCAATTGGGTGGGAACCCGTAACGTTTTTTTTCTGATTTCTTTGCTTGCTCTTCCTCTGCTTCAGTAAATATTGTAGACATTAGTACTTTCAAAAGCCCTTAGCATTTAAATAACATGCTTGGCAAAAAACATGTTTGCATAGATGGATCGAGACAAAATAAATTAAGGACAGAAGAAGATTTGAAATATAAATTGAAGAAAAAGAGAAAGTGTAGAAATTTTATTGCTTGAAAGATAATTTTTCTTTCAACCAAATGAACATGTCTGGTTGTTCTTTATTCTTTCTGTTTCCTTACTCAAACCATGGTAAATGGATTGGTATTTGCACTCTTTGATTGGTTTTGGAGGGTAGGAGGAGCATCACGAAATACTCACAACAGGGGAAATTACCAGATTTTTGCGAGACATTACTCTCTTCGTCATTGCTTGCAGCTTTGTCATCTTTTCCTATTGCTGTAACAGTGTAAAAGATATAATAAGTGATATGATATAATAACAGTTAAAAAAAAGGTGTTCATAGAGTCTATGATATATAAAGTATCCACACATCATCACTCTGACACGATAATACTAAGTACAAGGACGCACCAGTACTCTTCAACAATGAAAAGAAGGTGGCGCATGTTTCGTAGTTCGTTGGGTAGTGGTGAGTTTTGTGTTCTCTATTGTAACATACATCATCTGTTTCCTCAATCTCATCAACAATCGAACCTGACCAACACAAATCACCCGTTATCAGTAGTGACAGCACTTTAGTTAGTGTGAAAAATTTAGACATTTTGATTATATAATTGTAGAAAAGTTAGAAATAGTTGGTGCATGAAAGTTATATTCTTACAATTGTAAATAATACTCTGAAGTAACTCCATCCGCGTGCTACTTTTGAAACAATTAGGCTTCCCAGCCAGAACCTGCAGAGGTGATAACCCGTGCTGGTTTACAGAATTCACAAGCTTTGGATACAACTTAATTATTTGAAGCGCCAAACCTATCAAATTCAATTTTTTCATAGAAACAATTGAACTCGAGTAAGATATTTACAGCAAAATGAGCTATCCCTATTAACACTATCAAATTTTCAATTGAGGGTAACCTTTTTTTATGCCTCATCATATATGTTTTGTATCAGTTTATTCTTTTCTAAAGCGTGTATGAAAGAAACTTCTAGACTCAAGGAATCAAACTAAAAGTTAAGACGAACTAACCAAAGTGTTCACTGGAGATGGTACAATGAAGAATGGTGTTGCCATTGCTTTTCTTAACCAAGGAATAATCTTCATCGTCATCGTCATCGTCATGGTTTTGTTTTAGGTCATGCAGACATAAGAAAGCCTCTCTTTTGCCATGAACAGCAGCCAAGAAGAGAGGGGTTTCACCTTCCAAGTTACGAGCACAAATGAGTTTGGAATCCCTCTTAGCCATTTTGTGACACATGTCCACGTTCCCAACCTCTGCTGCCAGGTGCAAAGTGGTGTTTCCCTTCAAATTTTGCATGTGCAATACGTTGAGACACACCTCTTCGTTGATGCCATCCAACACCTCCCTCACAAAATTCGTTTGGCCTAAATACACTGCAAGATGCAACACTGTGTCTTCTGCTTTTGTGATCTTAGCCTCTAATGCACCAGGGTTTTTGTTGTAAGCCTCTAAAGTTTCCCTCCATTGCCCCTTCATGGCATAGTTAAACAAACTTTCAACGTCAATCTCAGCCATGTCAATGACAACTTCAAAACTCCCTATGTTTCCTTCAATATGTCTGTGACAACAAATTATGTATATTGCAAGTAAGCTCTGCAAGAATGACGAAGCACGTATATGGTTAAAGTGAAAATATATAGTTCGTCCAAATCAAATGCATAATATTTTCGTACGGTATCCAAAACTATTCGAAGTAACAATTCTTGCCAAAAATGGTTTTTTCTTTCAATGTACGATAAGCATTTTCTTGTCGACGGAGGAAACCTGATTCCAATTTATATATATTTGTAAATTTGGTTTTTGCCATTTTTAACGAGTATATTTATCAAGATACATTCCTATACTTTTTCTATCATTGAAAAAAGTAGATGAAGGTAATACATAAAAGATCTACTAGCATGTATTCTTTGCTCTCATGTAAATTGATGTCTTGCGGCTTTCACTGTTTTACTTTTACTAAACGAGTTCATACAGAAATGACCATTTATGTGCCAACCGCAGAAAAAAACCACAGAAGAAAAGTTATATATTTACTGTGAGAAAACAAGTATTTATTCGCTCTCATTCAGCATTGGTAACTTCAACGGACGAAAAATGTAGCCAGGCGAGATGCTTGTTATCAGTTCTTTAAATAAACAGAAAGCTTCCCTGCCACAGCAAGGAGAATCTTTTGTTGCTTCTTAACTTTGTTACAGAAAAGTATTCGGTGAAATAAATTTATAATTTCATAGATACATGTAAGAGATTCTGTTTCTCTTGATTATACATTTTCATGATATTATTTGGAAAAAAAATATACTACATGGTCGTGGTATTGATTGATAAACAAAAGATTCATAATAAACATTGTGACAGATCATCTTGTCAGTAAATACAGAGAAAAAAAAAATCCACGAAGCTGTTTCTCTCGTGATGAGATTCATACAGGATTATCATCATAAGAGACTTGAAGCCTCCAGGTGACAAATTGGATATATGCGTAGTTGATGGCCATAGCAATTCCAAAACCCAAAACTGATGAAAGTAGTATGGCATATATGGCCATCAAATGCAACTGCAACAGAGTCAAAATGCTTTAGCATATCAAAGTAATCAGCTAAGGATCTGGAATGTATAGTTTTTCAATTACAAGGAATCATCACTGTAACTTTTGTTTTTTCTTTATTTGCAATACTGTAAATTGTTGATGCAAGAAGAAAGAGGAAGACCACATGAAATAAATAAGAAATAATACGAACCCTTTTGATTGAATTTCTCCATAACTCCTGATAAAATAATAACATGAATATAATATGTTTTCTTCATAAGCTAAAATTAGCTTACACACAAATTTGTAAAAAGTTGTCTCATTTAACATATCTAAATGTTGATTTTATCTTTCCCGTGAGTCAATTTTACCATGGAGAAGAAGTTTATTTCATTTTCTTTTTCCTGCAATTACTAACAGATAGATTTTGTCCAAATAGAACCTGAAATGTTTTGACGGACTGCTATATCTACTACTAGCCACATAACTGATATTTTCTTCCACAAATTGTTTTTCCATTTTAGTAGCAAATTGTAAAGTTTTTTCTTCCCTAGTATTTTTCATAAGTTTCTAGTGCTCCCCCTTCACGCAATAGCCCCTTGGGATTGTCCGAAATTCAATTCTTTTAGAAGAATGGAGGGTAGCTAATCGAGACAACTTGGTTGTGACTTGTGAAGGCTTTGCTTTGATATTGTATAATCAATCATGGGAAGTGAACAAGAAATTTCTACATTCGTACTCACCATTGTATAAAATAGATGCACAGTTAAAGCTACAAGGGCAAACTCGAGAGCAGCATATGTCCATATATACTCCTTAATTGCTGCACACAATACAAGTACATACACAATTAAAATTCAAACAAAATATCATATCGTCACAAAAAACAAAAAGAAAGGTCGTTACCCAGAATGACTGCAAAAATAGAAGCTAGGAGGCCCAAGGTAAAGGCAAATGGTGCTGCAATAATAATAGCTTGAGTCTTCAATTCAGGAAGCTACAACATAGAGAAAGAAAAAGCAAACAAATTATTCTTGAACACCGAATTGTCAGAAAAAGAAAGAAAAATTATAAACACCTCCAAACTATAAACATTTTTACACTAAATCCTCAGTTAGCCTACTTTTACTGGGGAAAGGGTATAATTATACAACTGTAATTATGCATGAGTAGCTACTGCTCATTTTTCTGTTACACCAAAAGTAAGAGTTCTTCAATGATGGATGTTAGAAGTCATTTGTCAAAGGAAATAATAGGCATACCAGTAGCTGTTCAAGGAAGAAAAAGTAGCATATTGTGCTGATCAGGACAAGCACCACAAAGTCTTGCCATGCGCTGCAAATAAGTTTAAGAAATTTAGTCGAAAAGGAATGCCATGGTTACCCAAAACTAAAGTGTATGGTAAATAATAGAAAATAATGGATTGCTTGATTTGAGACAGAGGTTTTCAAATCACCTTATTGACTCTGGATGTAGGTTCTGCCCTTGCATCTGTCTGTTTTGTCGTTGAACAGAGCTTGTCACACGAAGCAAAGTTACAGGTAAATTCTGAACCTCTTGCCTACATACATCACATTTCTTGTCGCTTTTGTTGCTAAACCATTTAATTAAACATTCTTCATGCACCAATCTCAGGTCACCTTTGCAACTGCATTCCATTTTAAAGGTATTCCTTTCATCACACACATCGAAACATATCCTGCACACAGCTTCCTCTTCAGGAATTTCTTCATCGGCAGTAACTTCTACTGGCACAGGAGTTATTTGATCTGATTGGCCAGGTATAGAGAGTTCCCATAAGTTTCAAATGTAATATATGCTAGAAAACATGTAAAGTAATTCCAGTGTTCATTAGACTTCCATGGTTCAGAAATAACAGAAATATTCCCGCATTCTGTCTGTGGTCAACAAACAATATTTTAAAACTATGCCCACGGATCAAGAAAATTTCTACCTAAGGTGTTAAACCCTTGACTTGAATTATTTGTTTATGATAAAAGTCAATTAACTGAAACCTTAACATCAAAGAATCCACTTAAGATACTTTTAGACTCAAATCCATCAAGCAAATGAACATGGGATTATAACAAATTTCAACCTTCGGAAAAGGTTAGATATCTTCAAGCTTAAGAATTGAAAAACAGAAGAAAGCAAGACAATGGAACTGTAATAATAGAGTTCGTGGCATAACATACCTTCATTTTGATCTTGTTGCTCCTGTTCATTACGGGTAGAAAAAGAGACAGATCTTACAATAACAACATTTCGTCCAGGTACAGAAAGGGACCTTGAAACCTTGGAACGATCAACGTCTTTCTGCATACCAAATTACAAAAAAGGCATTTTCTTCATTTTAGTTTTTTTTACACAAAAGGAAACCCTAAATTTTATGCAATCATGCATCTAAAATATGCTATAGAAGGCACTAAACATGAGTTTGAATTTCATGCTTTCTAAAATACATCATTGAAAATCTCACATCTGATCAGTTTCATCTTTCCCTTTTTGGTGGAGGCAAATGTTCAGTTTCTTTGATAGCATGTTCGAAACAAAATCCTGATTCCTGAGGGTAATATGACCTTTAAATGTGATTCTCTTTTTCTATGGCCAGAGGTGCAGTTAGCATAAAACTTCATCTTGAAAATCCATAAATAAAGCAAAGTAGAAGATAACTTACATGTGGCTTAGTTTGTTCATTATATGTCCTTGCAGAAATGGGTGTAGCAACTGAAGGAGACAGATTTGATGCTGGTGTAACAGGAAGTGAAGTGCATCTTTTCCATGCAATTTCAGATATGGAGGCCATATTAGAACTGTCTGCAGCTGTCTTGGGGTCTGAACTAAGTAGGCTGCTTCTTTCCCCATCTCCTACATTTCCTTTTCTTTTGAAGCTCAAGGCCCGCAAGAAGCCTCTTGATGATGATATCCCTTTGCTGAAACTTTGAGAATGGTCCAGAACCCTCCCACCACTAGTGCTCCCAAACCCTATAGGTCTAGGAGGAACTTGAAGTGAAATATCAGGGCGCCTACCATTGGGTCCACTATCTGAAACTTCTTTGTTTCCCAGTGGGACACCCTGCATGTAACAAGGACACTTTAACAAAAGCTTGTGCCAGGCTCCCAGCAGTTTAGTTTGGCATAATTTGACAAAGAACAGCAGATAATATAGCAAAAATAATTTCAAAAAGCATCATGAATGCAATAATTAAAATGCAAGCATGTAAAAGATTGAATATGCCAAACAAGACAATTACAATGCAAGCACATCAAAAGGTTGCACATAAATCTAGCTCCATGATGAATCACTAATTATCCTTAACAAGTTGATCATTATTAGATATCCTCTTTCAACACGGAGATTCAAGAACTGAATCAAGTTCTTCAATCAACGCAACTGGCAAAAAGTCTATACATTTCTCTACAGAAACTGGTAAATCAAAACATAGCAAGATGTCAAACAAGTTAAGAAGAAAAAGGTCATATCCAGAACCCCTTTTGCAAACGACATTATCCGTCAGAGCACACAACTGATGCATCAACTTCAAGGACCTACCAAAAAACTCTGCAAACTCAAAATCAAAATTTTCTCACCACCGATAGAGCACATGCATGTTCTCTCTCATCTTCTCCTATACCCTCTTATAATTGAAACAACAAAACAAACAAGTACAGCACACACAAACACATGTTGACATGCTCTCATCAGATAAGGTAGGCACTTAAAGATATATTCATGTCCAATTCAACCTCAGCCCACAATAAGGAGGAAAGAACGAAGATTCACATCCTGACCAACAGCATTCTAAATATTGAAACTCAAACAAGACTAAGGAAATCAATTAAAAACGTGGGCTTTTCAGAAACAGTCCACCTGAGTAGACACGGCAGAATAAGCTAAAATTAGAAACCCCAAAATTGAATAAAAAAAAAAATCAAACACTGCCTGACATACCCATAAAAAAAGTCATAACTCGGAAAATACAAGAGAGAAAATCCAGTGGCCATATGAAGCATCCAAATAAAAAAGGGTTACAAAGAAGAGTTGTAAAATCAAATGGAAAAGGCGGAGAAAAAATAAAGTGAAAAGAAAAGAACTTGGCTTGTTAAAGATGCAAAAAATAGTTAGAGAACCTGATGGGAAATCTCGGGAGCTTCATCAGTGAGTGATGGTTGAGCAGCTTGCATTATGGCTAGTCACAAAGATCAAAAAAGCCCAAAATGATGGAGAAAAACCAAAGAGAAAAGCATAGGAAGAAAAAAATAAAAAGGAAAGAGAAAGAGATAAGTGAAGGGAATAGAATCCAACAAAGATTGTCGTACAGAAGAATCAAGCAACTATTGAAGACCCCCGTTCCTCCTCTGGAAATTATTTTACATTATTTGTTGAATATTGGTGTTATCGGAATCTTTTTCATCCTTGAACTTCTGCGTCACTTTTTCTCCTAAATTCTTAATATTAATAACACATTAGAATCTACTGAATATTTTTACTGCCTATTTCAACAAATTAAAAATGTCTGGTGTCTTTTTCTTATCTAGTAACTTTGTTAATAACTATTATTTATAGGAGGAAATAACTTATTACTTCTCATAGGATTTTCATTTTTTCCCAATAGTGTTGTTGATGCTTGATATAATTATTTTAAAAATTATATTAAATATGAAAATATTTGCAAAAATGAAATACGTTTTTTAATAAAGATTAGTTAGAAACTCAATTTGTAAATTTAAAGTTATTAATTAAGCTGTAAGAAAAATGAAGCTTCAATGGGAGAGAGTAGAAAACACTCAATTAACAAAACAGAGTAGTTTCGTGAGTCCGGTTCGTTGTCCGGTCTGATAAATCCGATCCAATGTCCGGTTCTGGAAGGAAGATGATAAGCAAAAGCCATTGAAGTGATGTTGACTAAAATGGACTTATATGTTCATTATAAGTTGAAATTAAATTATACAATAAACAGTAGTTAATTATATATCTGCCACTTTGGTGACAATATAGACAACTAAATCACAATATAAAAATGTTCTTACATATTAACCCAAAACAGATTAACAATGGTTGTGACATTGATAGATGTTTCTCGTACGCAATTCTATGTTGTTTCTAAGTTTCTTCCAATTTATTATCTGTGTTCCCCAAAGTCTCCTAAGTCGCAAGATTTCATTCTCTTAGTTAAAAAAAGTCAGTTTAGAGAGAAGAAAACTAAATTCGTTGACCATGACCGAATACAAAAGGGTCTGATTAACGTGCTTGAGGTATTTATTCGCTGGTTTAATTATCAATAATTTAAAAAATAATATGACCATCATGAATAATTTATATTTTAAATTAAACAATTTGATTACTTAATGAATAAAAACATTCTTCTACATGAAAAACAATTGAAGAAAATGTTAATTACTAATGGACACCGCATTCACGACAAGAAACTGTTAATAGAAGTGTATAAGAAGAAGAAAACACACATGCAAAAGATTACCATGTATATTTATTCATTTCTATTCCAACAGACTTTATTATATTTAAATACGCGTACATTTTTCGTTCTAAATTTTAGGCTTCCAAAGTTAATTTCTTAAAAGTCACTGTAATTTTATAAAAGGGTTAAATATGTTTTTAGTCCCTAAACTATTGGTCGTTTCTGGTTTTCTTTCTTCTTTCATAGTAAGGTATAATTTGGTCCTTATTTTTTTCGAAAACGTTCTTTTTAGTCCTCGAAAACTAACACCGTTTAAAAATTTGGTCCTCATTTAGCAATAAAATGAGAACTAAAACTAAAGTTTCGAGAACTAAAGCGAACGTTTCGAAAATAATAAGGACCAAATTGTCCCTTACTTTGAAAGAGGGACGAAAACCAGAAACGACCAATAGTTTAGGGATTAAAAACATATTTAACCCTTTATAAAATTCTGACTTTAGTCTTTGATAAAAAGTATTTATTTATAACAAAAATCAAACAGATACATGATTCATTGAAAGTATAAATTTGGAGATTTGATGCTTTTGCTTTGAGGAGAAATTAAAAGGTGTTTGTTGTGCATGTTGAAATCGGTTAATGTTGAATGTAGATGTAATATGTTGCATTCACAACTTAAGTGAATTGGTAGTAAAAATATGTAAAAGCTGAGAAGTGTGATGCACATTTAATAGGTGTTGCGATAGATTAATAACAGTCAATATGACATACAATAATAGTTTAGATATCTTTTTTTCCAAATGTATTATGACAATTTTGAATGGGTTAAATTTGACATTCTATAAAAGAAATTGTAGAGTATTAGTGAGCATGAAATGTTTGAATTAGTTAGAAGAAAGAATGAGAAAGACCTGTTGCGAAAGAGAGTGATTTCAATGACACCTTCATTGTTAGAGTTTTATTTTGTTTCAAAGTTTACTTTCACTTTCATGAACCAGTAAAATTGTTGGTCTTTATAAGAAAAATATACTTGGACACACATAAATATTTTATATTCATTTTACATTATGTTTTCTTATTTTTTACGAAAAAATATAAAAATTCACTTTTTTTATAATTATTTTACCAATATGTATATCAAATGAATAAAAAAGTTTATGACTATATCATTACTCTTTCATAAACTACATCATCCTTGCCTAAACTTTTATGTGTCTTATGCATATATAATGTCCTATGCCTAGCTCTTTCACATAACAAGATAAAAGATAAATGGAGTAAGTTACTTGTACTGATTAATTTTTTAAAACAATTAGAATAAAAAATTAATTTAGAAATAATTGTGTTCATTTTTTTTGTGAATTGATTGTTATGTTGATATTTTTTATTTTATTTTAAACATGATTAATGGAAAAGAGAGAAACAAAAAGAATGATGTAGAAAAATTGCTCTTATGTTTCATGTTTTCCTTCTGAACTTTTTTGCAGGTTCCAAATTTTTGTATGAGTAGAAAAAACCAAGTACGGCTTCATTTTGCAGATTTGCAGAGTTTTTGGAAACAGAGAGAGCATGAACCATCAGAGGGTATATATTTTTATGCAATAATTTCTTAAATAATAATGTTTTTATATTCTTTACTTATGACAATAAATTTGCAAAAGTATTCGTTATTCTTTCTTATTCGCGTCGTTACAGTGTGTATTTGAGAATTTACAATCAATACATGATTTAGACAAAGAAAATTATTAATTTTAACTATATTAATTTTAACTATATTAATTTTAACTATCATAAATATTTAGAGAATATATTATGAGTGACAATGTAGGTTAATCTGCCTGTAAGTGAAGTCTACCAACGTGGTTAACCTGCGTAAGTCGAAGTCTACTGTGTGATTCATTCTTTCTTTTTTTCTTTTGTAAATGATAAAGCTTTTATTGTCTTGCAAATATCAAAACTCTAACGTGTTCACATATTCATGTATGTTTTTCCATATTCTTTTTCATCATGAATTATTACGAGTTTATTAAAAATAAATAATATGGTAATTTTGTACTATACACATAAAAAAAAATACATCTGTGTATGCTTGTTGTTTTCCTTTTGAACTTCTACATGAATGTTCTAAATAGATTCCTGTATGAATAGAAAAAACCAATTGTGTATCTTTGAATGTGCAAAAATCTAAAAAAATCATCATCCATGTCAAATTTTAAATTAATTAACGGTGAAGAAGAATCACTAATTTTCTTACGAGTCATGATCTAAATGAAGTATAATCATTTTTTCACAGCGACAGAAAAGAAAATAAAATTAAAGTACTACATTTTGTCTAAGGATTACAAAATACAGTCAACACAAGAAAATACCTGTGTAATATTCTATCTTCAAATAAACTCTAACCCCCAAAAAAAGTTATAATAATTTATACCAGATATAATATCTTTAATAAACTTTATATTTTGCTAATCAAATATAATTATCATCCTTTAAAATAAAAATTGAAACAACCAATCTAATATAAATTAGAAAAACTTGAATCAAATTCGATACTATTCTGAAACTAATTGAAACCGAATATCAATTTGTTTCGTGATCGAATCAAATAAGTTTTATCAACAAAATTAATCCATCCAAAACAAACCAACACCCATTGAATCACTGTGCAATATTGTCAATTGGAACACTGAAACAATCCTTAAAAAGATTCAGTACCTGAAAATGATGAGACTGAAGGTACATATCTGCAGACTGGAACAGGAAAAGTAAACGTGTGTGTATGTATCCTTTGATGTATATGAACAAGCTCTGTGAAATGAACATACATATTCTAAAATCAGATCTCATCATTCAAGGATACCCTACTGCCATGCATGTCTCCCAAAATATCTTATCTTCCACATCATTCACATTCACTTTCACAATCCTTGTTTCCACTTCATCTTCAACTACCAAAGGAGAAGAAGAGCATTCTATTTCCAACGATGTATCTGACAGCCACATTTCATCTTCACCACCTTCAACATCCTCAGACAAACCACATGTACCAGCAGTGTCACAGGTACAAGATTCAGCATCATCGTCGTTAGAAACTACTTGGTATAGAAGACTAAAGAAGCCAGTATCTCCTTCAGAGTCTCCACTGTCTTCAACGAGCAACCAAGATGACACATCTATGCCTTTCATTTCTTCCTCAAACAAATATGAACAACAAAACTTGTTGTCACCAATGTGCTCAATTTCACCTACTACTTAGCACGTTCTGGTACAATTAATAGCTGTGAAGTGAGTGTGAAACTGGTCCGGGTTTTGTTCAAACCATGTTGTTGGTAAGATTTGTTGCAATTACATGTGTCATTTTCTTGTTCAAAGAAAAAAGGTGGTTGGTTTTGATTGATATTCCATGTTGACGGTGGATTTCAAGTCATCACTCCACTCCATTTTATTAGGTCTCATCAGAACATTCATTTTCTTATCATTTCAACACAAATGCCAATGTCGGTTGCTGGTCGGCCAAAGACTACAACCTTAGATTTCGGGATTTGAACTGAAACATATGTTTAAGGATATACATATATGCGGATGTTTATCCACAGTGATCTTCTCTTCACAATACATCCTAGGATCTGCCGACATCAGAAAATGACTAGTGAGTGGAAATTATTGTGGATATATTGGATTAGCATGTGGTGTCACTAGTATATTTAGCTTGAGCTTCTTTCTCTCCAATTTCATACTTAGTAGGTTTTTAATACTATATTATGTTAGAAGTCTAGGTATAAAAATAAACAGATTTGTAAAATTAAATTAGATTTAAAAATTTACTTTTTAACGTAACTTATAAAAATTAGAAGAAAAGATTGACATTAACATTATAAATTAGGGAAATCTGAATAATTACGGGTGTTTAGCATAATCAAATATGTTTATCTGTCACTGACAAGCATGATTACTTGTTACATCATAAACTAAAATAATTTGCTTCCGGGTGTCTTGTTTGTAACCTAACATTTAAGCACAACCAAGTGATGATTGTAATATAGAATTGAGTT